CCATTTCATTCCGACTAGGAGACATTTCATGAGAAATGGGAGACAACCAAAATCCATCTTAGCATTGGTTCCGGTAGCAGGGCGGCCGTCTCAAAAAGCACATTATTAGGCAGCTCCGCGACCGCTCCCCCCGGAACCTGACTTTCTGAGCACGCTAGGTGACGGTTCCACCAGGCCCAGCCGGCGTAGCACCCCCATCAGCCTTGGCAGGGGGGGTAGTGATGCGCGCCACCTATCAGATGCTAACCTGAGCTGATGCCGATTTCCCCCGGAACTTCAGCTGCGTTCTGCGCCGCGCACTGCAGCATCTCCGCGTGCGGTCCCGCTCGGGACGACCCAGCCGGTGGCTCGCTCTGAATAATGCATCGCCCGAGGACCAAATTAGACCGTGAGCCCGCTTTAGGGATCAGGCCTTCAGGTTCATTATCAGCCGGCGAAGCTCACTCCCACCCGGGTGGGTACTCACACGAGGACAGTCAGGGTCAGCAGAAACACGAACCTCTAACTCAGTCCCAGGGGTCAGGGAAGTGCACCTGAAATGAATATAAACAAATGCAAAGTATAAAATGGTAACCCATGGGATATGATGCTGCTAAGCTAACATGCTAAAGGCTTTTTTTATAGAAGAGGAGCTGTCCTATAGCTCTGTGCTCCTCATCAGAACGCTGCCCCCAAACCACACACGCGGTATGACAAACTGTCATTACACAAGCATCAGACCCAAAGCTGTTTAGCACATGACCCTATCCCATAATTCCACAGGAAGCATTAAAAACAGAATATGAATGATATGACTATAGCACCATGAGCTCATACAGTGTGCAGTGAAACATAGTGGCGAGGCAGTATTGGGCAATCCCATAGTATGTGTACTGTAGAGAGCAAAGATACGGCCCCACAGCATTCTGGGAAGGAAATGACCATACAACCTGTTTGCGTAATCCTGCCATAAGGGTGAAGGAACTGAAAACAGGCATGGCACAGGCATGGCACAGGCATGACGAAGGCATGACCCAGGCATGGCGCAGATCCAGTCACCACAGTCCACTTTCCTTCACAAAGTCCATTCCTAAGAGACACACTGGGGGGCGCCACATCACTGGCCAGCAATCCAAAGAGCCCAAAAAAAAAACACACACAGCCAGGAAAGCAGTGGCATGAATCTAACTGCACTGCGCAGTGACAGTGACAGCAGAGAGGGACACCATACTGGCTTAGAAGATCAGGCCGTCCAGGGAAGCAAACTTCCTGAAAGTGAAGACAACGCGACCACCGATGCAGAGGGGCGGGGTCTCCTGCAGGTAGGCGGAGTCCGTGCTGAGTGAGGCGTGGCTTGCATCTGGGAGATAAATGCATCTGGGAGATACACCCGGCCGTTTTAACAATCAACCTTCCCGAAAAGCAGAGGCGCGTAATCCCCACTCCAAAATCACTGAGAGCCAATCATGTCACAAAGAAGAACAAACAGCGTGATTATCTGTGTCGAAAGCCCTCGCTTCAGTTTCATTATGACTAAAAAGACAATGAGGGTTCGTTCTCTGTTTGGCTGTGCTGCATTTGCTACATGATGATCATGATGATAATCATCGCCGTAATCATTATTATGATCATGACACAGGCCAACACCACAGGCTGTGGGTTCCTCGATCTTACAAATCATGGATCAGTGCAGACGGTTGGAACGTGGAGCCAGGTGAAAAAGCGCTTAACAGCATGGAAAGGAGATCCTACAGGGAATGGCCGGCAGTTAGTGGCAACAAAATACAGCATAGGAAAAAAAAAATGACCTAGTTCTACTTTTCATCTAAAGGCCTAAAACCCTGGTGGACATTTTCTGGCGGAATATCAGCATTAAAAAAAAATTCAATGTGCATGTCTGTGACTGTGGATTGTGAGCTGCTGTTCCCTATTGATGTTGACGTTGATCAAACAGACCAATCACCAGTCAGCACCTGAAAGGGGTGTGGCCAAAATAAACCCAGTCATTGCTCCAGACTGCATCGGTTGCAGACTGGCTCTCTCTGCTTCCATGACGTCATCCTCCCAGACAGGAGAACGTTGTTCCCGCTGCTGCCGCTGTGCCCGGCCGCACAGGACCTCATCCTGATGATGCCCTACAGGCTATTTCAACAACACTAACCACAGGGGGGTGCTGGGCCACTCATCCAGCCACATAATTCCCTGTGTACAACTACCCAGCTTTGTGTCGTTTATGCAGATTCGGGCGCATCTCTGGAAAACACGTTTGCCTCAAAGGAGCACAAGAAAGGCAGAATTAATGCGAAAAGCACAAGTGAGCGCCGCCCCAAGGGGGACACATCAAGGCACTGTCAAAATGGTGGAGGATCATTCACAGCTAAAAGCAAAAACAAAGAAAGCGGTCAAGACCTGCACCACCCATATAATCAAAATGTACAGATAAAAAAAAAAAAACACCTGATTGTAATGGATTCAGATCAGCCCCTGCCCTCTCGTTCAGAGCAGTGCGAACAAAGCGACACTGCGAATGAAAGGAATCTCATTAAATCTGTTCACCTTAGTGCTGCTGCTGCTTGCATCCAATGACTTCCGCGTTTTCTCATTCACCAAAATGCCTCAGCGCACATTTAGCGATTGCCAGTTCTGTAAGCAACCCCAGAAACCTGAAACCAGCTGTGATTATTCATGCAAACTGCATAAACGGATGATAAATGAACAGCCCTCCACAGATCACAAAAAGGATGCAATACAGCACAGCACTTATTGTTAAGCAGTTTTTCTGCAGTCATATTTTCTCTTACCACTGTTGTTATGTGTAGTGATAGCATTAGTAAGATCCTACCAACACAAACACTTGATAACTGCATAACATTCCATAACTGGGGGTTAAACCTGCCCTGGCCAGTCTTGACATCCACACCGATTGTGAACATATGTACTGTACATATTCCTCCACAAAAAACCCTCTCATTCGTGCAAAATACTCCTGTCTCCCAAGCCAACCAATGAGGACACTATCATCCAAGCTGATTCGTAATGCTCTGGCATCAATACAACCAGATATTATGTTAAGGACCTTAATCACTAATGATACGGCAGGGTACAGTGGGGGAACTGAACCAACAACCTTGAGGTTAACAGCCCCTGTCCTTAAACGCCTCACCACACCCCTTTCCCTACAACCTATCTACAGCTACCACAGGATTCCCCCCCAATTCTTTAACAGCATTTTGGGGTTGCTTAGGTACCTATTAAAAGCCTATTAGTTAGATTGAAAATATATTGGGCTGAATAAAACTAAAGAATCAATAAAATATTGATTGTTTCTTTGTGAAAATGTAAGAAAATCATCGTCAAAATTTGTCTTATATTGGGTTACTTACAGATTCCTGGAATGGGAATTCCGCAGATTGAATCCCACTGGGAAATTGGGATTTTACTCGATAATTTTCGATACCATTCATGGGACCATCATAACAGCACGGCACAATGTCACAAGAGTACATAACAGCTCTCATATTATGAGGTCTGTGGAATACCCCAGAATGTCTTCCTCTAGAGCTTTCTCTCCTCATCTCTCGTTCTGTCAATCTTGTCTGCTCAGTGACTGAATATTATGAGAAAATACATGCTGCTGAATACCTCCATTACAAATAAATTAAGAAAAAATATAAATCACAACATTTAAACACACTACCCAGAAACAGCCCCCGGTAAGTAAGGTATAACCAAGACCACGCTCGCCTGACGGCGCGCAATTATTATGCCATTAGAAAATGAAATTGGGCACTGCGTGAGTGAACACTCTTACTTGTATTTGTAAAAAATGTTGAGGGTGCTCCTTAAATGTATAAGTAGGCTATATCATATGAAAATAATGAGATGTAGTCAAACACAGCAGGGCTGAGCCGAACCGAGCCGGAGGCGCACCGGCGCTCTGCTGCCGTACTGCCCTTCAGAGGAGTCACTGCATGCGCACAGCCAGCAGAATGAATCTTAATAGAGGCACTTTGGGATGCCTGTTGAATAGCAATAAGCCCACGAGCCTGTCCCTATGCGCCGCCTGGGATCTAGTTTCCTTGTAAATGTAAACTAACTATCCCTTTTCCTGAAAAATAATGTGTTTTCAGGACTCGGATTGTGACAGACCATCAAGGGACGAACCTGAGCAATAAACCGCGCACAGCGGCGCGCCTGTCGACGGCGGTAAATGAGCTCGCTTTCAGTTGGAATCACTGCAATTATTAATTGTTACGAACAATACAGTGGGCACTTTCTGATGGGAAAATCCGACAAGGTCAAACCTTTCAGGGACAGAAAATGTCCTGCAAGTATGCATACATATGTTTAATTGCCCGTGGAAAGACTGAATAGGGAAAAAAAACTAAAACCATCGCATGTATAAATGTAGACCTCTGTGCAGGTACACGTTACATTATTTCTCTCATGTGACCAGTCAATACGATCGGATCAGATGTTTATCTGATTTATGCAAGACAACTTGAACATGCTTCAGCAGCCGAGAAGTGCCCGGTCCTTATTTATTCATACATTTGACGAGAACTAACTGTTTTCGGCAGCCGGTGCAAGTTACACAGGCTACTAAATTCGTAATTATCTCTTCCTTGTTTGGGGATTTCACCGTGTACAAGGCTGTAAATTTAAATTCCCCATCAACTGTGCAGCTAATTTGTTTTGTGGCTTTAAAAGGCTCCCGGGTCTTAAGCCACAAATACTTACAAATCATTCCCCTCGACAAAAATGTTCATGCACCCTTTGTAAAAGGCCCCATGTAAGTATAAAAACTAAACGAATAAAATATCACAACAATGAAATACAGCGCGGCCAACTGTCCCCGTAATTATCAATGAACGATCCTGTGTTGTCGACGCAAGTTGAATTTTTGGGGGATTCGGGTCGGCGCATAACCAACAAACAATTCCACCGTTTTTAACTAGGAGATATTTGTTGCAGCAAATGCATACAGAAGCTGCTTGGTAAGTACGTGCACAGCGACTGACCTGGATCGTGCAGGTATATTCCGTATCGTCCAGAAGCCTCACGGTACAATTGCATTCTCTTTCCAGGTTCCTGATGCTGCCGCTCATCAGACGACTCAACATCTTCTCACACGATTGCTGGGTCTGCGTCTGGGACCAGAACAATAAGCCGAGCGCACACCATAGAAAGTAATGTCACATTGATCAGCTTCTTCGGCCACCGGGCTGAAGGGGGACTGAGGCGCAAGGTTTGAGCATCGCTACCAGGTGGATGCGGACATGCTGCTTCCTAGGTGACTGTGCTGTATCACAAGCCTGTCATGCCCCCATCCCAAGGCTGGCCACTGTATCGTAGCTGCATGGCACCTTTCACCATTCATCGCTTGTTACTTAAAAAAAGTGGGCGGGGATAGGGGCGCACGATGACGTAGGCGAAACCCGAGAAGGCTGGGCTTCTCAAAAAGACATTTTAACCAACAACACGGAATTTAGCATATTTCCCCCTTTTGGGCTCATTTGCGCCTATAGGAGTGGGGATTGGCCGTAGATGTTTTGGAGCCCTTCTCCGTCATCCCGATTTCATGAAAGATGTTTGAGACAACGAACCGAAATTGCGGTATTGTGTCATAAGTGCATGTTTTCCCCATTCTTCAAATCGGTGATTATTTTACAGGTTATGTTAATGTATTTTTTATGTCCTTTAGGATAATACATTTTTACATCGCGTTAAGCTTGTATGAAGCGTGTTTTGATACGGACGCCGGAACGTTTTCTGCGGCTCAAACGCGGCCGCGTGTCGCAGAGGAGGCGCAGTGCTGCGCCGCGGACTTCAGACGTTCATTCGATGACACTGAACGACACTTAACAGTTTCTCTGTTTGCGTAAAAACTGCATATAACGAAATGGGCGTATAACACCACTCCAAAATAAAATTACAGTTTAATGGAGAATTTTATGGCATTTCAGAATTTTTTTTTTTGCATTTGTGCATTTTTAATAGACTTTCATATATACTTTCGTATACTCTCACACATCCCTTCTAAATGCTTGTTTTTTTTTCCCCCCCAAACGCTTATCCTGGGTCAGGGTCACCTGCAGCATAACTCGGTCAGCACAGGTACATCCTTGACAGGATGCCAGTCCCACGTCCCACACACAGGGATGCACCACTCACTCCTTATTTTTAAAACAGTTAAATCATGAATAAATATCAAATTAGGGTTATACCCATTTTGCACCAGAACTGCTTACGCAGTGGTTTTCCTTGATACTAACAGCACAGAAAAATAAATAGTAAAATAAATAGTACTCCTTAACATGAAGGAGGCGGCAGAGTAGCCAGTGCTACTGGCTGATCAGAAATATGTTCATTGCATCTCCTTACAACGGGATCGAGCGCCCCCTGTGGCCTTCGTGCTGTAAATGCATCTACCTGGTTTCTCTTCAGTATAGCTGACGTAAGATAAACGATAAAGGGAAGCCAGCGTTTATCCTGCTTGGGCCTGGATGGCGAAGATCGATTTTTGGGTTGTCGGATTTAAGGTAGCCTCGGCTAGGGTACCTTCAATCCGACAAGTTATCTAGGTAACCAACAAATATCGCTTCGTGATAAAGGATCCCAGAGCTCTATACAAGCAGGACGAGTAACATTTAACGCGGAGTTCCTACTACTACAAATATATTACAGAACTGGTACGGTTAAATGTACTCTTTCTCCATACATATACCTTAGTTTATAGGGATATTTTTTCCCTTTGAAACAAGTCTTTGTTACTGACAGACGTAATATTGTAAGCTTTGGAACCATAAGATGAAAGAGCTGCCTTTTACACGGGAAAGAGTCCGATATTATGTATTCTTGATTGATGTTTTGAGATTGCCTTTGTTTTATGTTGTCTAATTCTGTTAAACGTTGCTGCATGGTGCAAGTAAGATTTCCTATGTGTTGATGTACCAAAGGGAAATAAAGAATATTGAATCTGGAAGTCCTCTGGCGAATTAATTATTCATTAGCAGTTCACCTGAAATCCAAATGAATGACTGGACACATTTACATTTACATATTTAGCAGACATTTTTGTCCAAAGTGACGGTGAAGTGAGTCAAATCGCACATTGCAAACATTAATCCTGTCAAGGAGTCAGCTATGCCTAAGCACAGCTAGGCTGAGGTTAGATTGAATGCCCAGGTTCAGGTGTGAGCAGTACTGAATCAGGAGCGACCCAACAGCTGCAAAATAATGACACATACAACTATTAACAAAGTAGTAATCTAATAAGACTATTCAAGGGCCAGAGGTACGACATAAGAACATTCAAAGAACATAAAGAGGCGCCAGTTTAGACTCAAGTCACAAGAACAAATGTAGTCATTGAGTTTAGCACAGGACCCTTGAGATCTGAAATTTGACCCCTCTCTTCTACAAAGTCTACAAGGGCAACGGGACGTGTCATCTCCTAATCACATTGTGAATGTAACGGTTTAAACTACGAAAATGACTAGGGGTTCCATGTGAAAATCAGTGAATTTTTCAAAATTGAAGGTAACACTTTACTTTAAGGGACACAAGTAACTTGGTAACTAAGTTACTACTAAAGAAGAACTCATGAGCACATGTAGTAACTGCATGAAACACATGAACAGTGATGATTGATTAATGGTGAACGAGCATGGGATCAGTATGTAACTAAAACTTAGTTTCTGGCTAATTAATTCATTAAGTAAGAGTGTACTATACTATATTTGTGCCCCCTCAAGTAAAATGTTACCAAATTGACATTAAATCTTTGGGAATACTAGTAACAGTATATAAATATACTAATTATATAAATAAACGTATACCTGGAAATGTACCTCAAAGGTCTGTTGGTAAAGAACTAATAACCCTTTACTGCTAGATTTACCTTTGAAATATAAAAAGATAGATCCAGATTTTTAAGATGCTTTGTAATTCTTTCTTTCTTTGCACACAAAGCTATAAAAATTTTCACGTTTAGTTAGTTCATTAACATTTTCCTTTTGCACATGTCATAGCAACATGTCACAGCACTTCTCGGTCTATGTTTTTGTGCAAAATACTGGATTTTATAACTAATAGTGACCTGACTCCTGTCCTTCGAAGCATAAATTAAACTTGGCTGTGCTTCTCCACGGACACAGTGGTCAGTAATATCATTGCACATTTGACTAAAATACTGTTAAATCAAGTGTCCACTAGTGTAGGCACTACGCATCATTTGGATAAATATGGTGTAAGCAGATACTCCTGGCAAATAGATTTTGGGGGTTTCAGCAGCACTGATTACCTGTCATACTTTCAGTTGCATTAGACCCTGTAAGTTCATGGACCATTTGGAGGTTTAGGGCCTTGATCCAGGTGCACAATTGTGATGCAACTCTGCTGGTCATCAGATCACAGCATCTTGACCTACTGAACCATGTGAACACAAAACTAAGCCTATTGCCGTGACATTGTCCCACAATGCCGTGACTCGGATTCGAACCGAGGTTGCTGCGGCCACAACGCAGAGTACTAACCACTATACGATCACGGCGAGCTACATAGGCACAACAAACAGCCACAGGGTGAGGGTGACATAGGCAACAGCCCACCAGGGCATCTTACTGGGTGATATCGAAATGATATCGGTGTAATCGGTTTTCTATCGCTCATTTGCATGTCACGTCAGTGTCACCGTTTGGGCCCTGAAAATAGTTTGTGAGCTATGCAGATTGACTCTCGGAAGTACAAGATGCGCGGGGGAGGGGGTGACCTCAGGTCGGCCCCCTGGAAGATGAAGGTTGGGGGAGCGGGATAATCTATCAAACATCGCATCTCTGACTTTGTACAGTACTAATGCAATTAGTAAAAGCAATTACACTATGAAATGCTACCAAATAAACTACAATTAATCCATTATACTGGGAATATATAAGTTCACAAATACAGAGTTGCACTTTTCCGGTTTGTGTGAAATCGTTAAGAAAAATATAGAGCCAGTCTGCACCCCACCTAAGCTACTTTGTTCAGTTTTGACAGTGTTGGGGGATTGGTAATGTACTGAAGCTCTAGTGGAAAATTAACACAAATGCATAAGAAAAGGTCTGAGCCATCAAGTGTCCAGTTTAGAAAAAAAGAACTGTAACTTAAATTATACTATTCATTTAAAATGCTTATGAAAGAAATCTTAAATTTACACATCTCAGAAACTAAAATGAAGCCTATTGCCGTGACATTGTTCCACAATGCCGTGACTCGGATTCGAACCGAGGTTGCTGCGGCCACAACGCAGAGTACTAACCACTATACGATCACGGCGAGCTACATAGGCTTGCGAGCAGCTGCGCTCTTTTTGCAGCTGAAGACATCATGGGTTACATTTTGATTTACTTATGAAATCATTAATTATATTTTTTGATTCATTGATATTAAGAAATACTACGAAGCTCGTATTGATTTGCTCATATAATTCAGCTTTTTCGAAAAGAGGGCTCCTCCTTCGAATTGCACAGAAGTCTACCACGATTTCAATTCCATCAGCGACGTCGCAAAGTCAAGGTGCTGCTTCGGTGAACTGGGGGGGGAGGAGGTTAAATAGCGCTTCGGTATGGCTGCGGACCGGAGTCATTTGAGTACCTAGCTGCATGGTATTTTACTGAGGTGGTGAACAGAGAAAAAGAAATGAGTGATACTTTAGAAAGAGCAAACGGCTTTTTATTTTTGCAAAGAAAAGCTAACAAATATTTAAAAAATACATTCTGCATTGAGATGCGAACACTAAATATTACAATACCGAAATAATAAAAAAATCCAGCTGAAATCTCAGACAAAACACTGAGATGAGTGCACAAAATGGAATTGAAATAAGGTAGGTAAGCTGATCATTAGAGTTTCTCTGAAATCATACTCATTTCACAGAGTAGACCTTAGTAAACATGCTAAATATATTGAGAACAGACTGAGTGGATTACTTATATCAATGAAGTATTTTGCATTCGTAGTTGCTTAGCTGATACTTAAATTTTTTTTTAAAGCCATATACATTTTTACCCATTTCTGTGGCTTAATATTACGGTGGACCGATTCAAGTTAACTGGCCAGCTCTACGGCACAAAAAATCCTCGTCGACGGAAAAAAAAAAAAAAAACTTTTCAGTTGGCGCACTTTAATATAGCACACTGCCTACTACCTAATTTGTTTAAAATCATTGTATGCAATTAGCTACAGATAATAATGGCATACAAAAGTTTAAGATTAGTTGTCAAACATTGCGATTAAGTGCATATAAAGGCTCTCCAACTAGGATACATCTCTGTAAACATTTGTGATTAAGTCACAGTTGAAATACTATGATTAAATCAGTCACTAATATATATATACACACAACTGATTATATTCACATATAACAGCAGTGTTATAAGGGCAGACATTTTATGTAGATTACAAACATCTGAGAAAAGTTACTACTCTAAATAATTTAATTTCAATTTTAAATGGAATGATTTAAATAAGAATCATGGGGGGGAAGCTTGACAGTCATATTTCAGTGACAAAAAGAGTATCTCAATGAGCAACTTTGAATGTGCTGGTGTTTCTTGAGGAGATAAAGAAGAAGGTTTCCAGGTGGCACATGAACCTTGTATTTAGTGAACTGACACAGGGTTCCAGTACAGACCCTATGCCTGAGCGTCTTTCAGAGGGCCCAGCCCAACGGTTCACTTTCATCATTTTCCTCTGGCTCATTGTCCCTGGGGGAGGAACTCTGAGCGGGCCTAGTCACAGCATTCTCCGCCTTCCGGGTGGAAGGCCGACAGGGCTGTGATGATGGTGGGCGGGGCCGTGGCCTGTAGTCTGTGTGCACGGTGCCCACCGCCGCCGCTGCTGCAGCCCCCTCCGCCACTGTCCTCTTATACAACTCGCAGCGGGCCACCAGGGGGCGCCCTATGTTCTGCTGCCTGCTCTCCGTGAGCCGTTGGTGCTGCCTGACGCGAGAGTAGTGCAGCTCCACGGTGAGCATCAGGGGTTTCTGTGAAAAGGAGAAAATAAATAATAATAATAATAATACCTGACGCGAGAGTAGTGCAGCTCCACGGTGAGCATCAGGGGTTTCTGTGAAAAGGAGAAAATAAATAATAATAATAATAATAATAAAAAAACACCCAGCCGAATCAGAAAGCATTAGGGGTGAGCAGTCGTCTCCTTACGCACCTGGAGCTTCTGCAGGCCACAAAAACGCAGGCAGCAGTCTGGAGCGTCAGTATTGGTTAGCAGCAGAGTGTTCATTTCATCAGACCACCCAGCGATGGAGAAGATATCCTCCAGTGCCTGCAGTGAGCACAAAAGCAGCAGGAAGCGTTAAAATCCCACTTAGAACGACTTACTGTATTGGTCACGGTGTGCATTTGTTTGCATGCATCAGCAAAGGAACATAAAGAGTGCAGATACAAACACACAACACAAAACTCAAGACAAAGTGCCAAGACAAGTAAGGCTGTGCAGAAATACAAAAAGAAATATATTAACAAGGGGTATTCATGTGATGGGCAGTGTCATCGTTATGCAGGATGCCGCTGGTTTTGAAATGCTTGCCAAAATAAGACCAATTATTTCATTTGGACCCATGAGCAGTCTGAGGTTCTTCCCCCCTATATCAGGCTAATTATGTGTTCATATACTGTAAGCAGATGATTTAAAATGGGATGCTTTACTACAGTATACTAATGGTTTTCAATTATTCAAGTCAAATCACTTCACTGTCATTTCACGCATGAAAGGAAAAAGTGATTGTCCAGAGTGTTGGCAGCTAGAATAAAGAACAGCTGAACAACAAACACTGTGGGATACTAAAAAATAATAAAATCACACAAGAGCACACAACAACAAGGATGATCCCATGCAATTAGTACTAGAAAACGGAAGTGCAAGACAGTACTCAGTGCAAAATATATATAAAACAAAAATAATCCAAAAAAAATCACCACATTGCAGTGCTAATATGCAGGTGGAGACTTTTCTGTATCAGCATTTTTTGGGTAGAAGGGAGCCTGATAGCCTGGAGGAATCACTGCCGCGAGCTTGGTGATGGTGGACCGAATGCTCCGGAACCTTCTTCCAGATGAAAGGGGGTGAGCAGGCGGTTTGACGGGTCATGTGTGATTGAAAGGCCCCTGTTGCTGCTGCGTTTGTTGTATATGTCCATGACAGTGGGTAGAGAGGGTCCAATGACCTTCTCTGCTTCCTCACTGGAAGGTGTTGCAGTCTGAGGCTTGGTGGTTCCTGTACCAGATGGTGATGTAGCTGCTTATGGTTCCTCTGCAGAAAGCTATGAGAACTGGAGGAAGGAGACATTCTCTTCTCAATCGAAGGAGGAAGTGAAGGTGACAGAGGAAGTGTGCCTTCTTGGTCTGGTAGGTAATATAGCTGGTTCGTGTGAGGTCATCTGCATATATATGCCCTGAGGAACTTGGCGCCTTTTAGTACTTCCACAGTGGAGCCACCGATGAACAGTGTGTGCTATGCTGAACTTCCTGAAGCCTTGAGCAGTGGAGCGGTCATGTGTCAGCGGGGTAAATAGCAGTGGGCTGATGACACGTCCCCGCGGGGCAGCGGTGCTGAGTGTGGGAGGTCTGGATATCCTGTCACCATTCAAGCTTTCATTTGAGGAGGACTCTGTAAATCCTGTTCTGGGGACAGACCGTTGTCTATGAGTTAGAAAGTCCTGTATCCAGTTAGAGAGATTCGTTGAGACCAAGTGTGTCCAGATTTCTGATGAGCTTCTGTGTGTCAACAATGTTGAATGCTGAGCTAAAGTCTATGAAGGGCATTCTGACGTAATTGTTCTTGTGGTCCTGCTGGGTCAGTGCTAGTTGGAACGCACTGGACATGGGGTTCTCTGTGGACCGGCTGCAACAGTAGGCAAACTGGAGGCAGTATAATCAGGTGGGGAGGCAGCCTTTGATCTGGATCATGACCAGTCCTTCAAAGCACTTAGAGATGACAGGTGTAAGTACCACAGGACAGTAGCTGTTTAGTGCTGATATTGATGACTTTTTCTTTTGGCTGTTTTGAGGGATGAAAGAACAACATGACTCAAGAAAATGTTGAAGATGTCTATAAGGACATCTGCCAACTGGGATGCACTTTCCCCGGGAACTGGGAAGATTGTCAGGTCCAGTCTTGTAGTCCATCAGGGCCCGCAAGCTCTACCACACTGTTTCTCAACTCGTGGGTCGCAAACTAAATTTGGGTCGTGGCAAGTTCTGAAAGGGTCACGAGTTGGAAATCCAAACATTTCTTAAATAGCCATTTCCTAAATGCCGATCCCGGTTCCCCCAATTTAACCAATATAAAACGAATTTGCAGTTGGTTAGCGCAAAACTATTGAATACTCAACCACTCACACTAAATTATAAAACCGCTCAAGTGCTCAGATCTCAGAAGGGCTGTTAGTTGTTCCACACACCAGGTTAAAGACTCGTGGTGTCATGCCTTCCAGTCTCTTGCCCCGAGGAATTGGAATCATCCGTTTCCTTTTGTCCGTGCAGCTGATACAGATGATTCTTGTAACTGTAGCCGTAAAACTTTATTTAAACAAGTTTTTTTTTTTTTAAATCCATACTGTAGATGTTATTGTACATGAACTGTACAGTTTTTTTTTACTGTATTTGACTTGTACAGCACTTTTGTCTGAGAAAAAACTGTATTTATAAAGCACTTATTTACTTACTTACTAACTTACTGTCATACAAACGGATCCGCAGATGTTTAATTTCAATGCACTGGCATCCCAAGCCAGACTCATTCGGTATGCGTTGACTGGCATTGACTGCAGAATGCACTGCACACTTGATTGCTCTGCTAAGCTCTTGCATGTTGGTCCCACTGACAACATTAGCTAGCACAATTAAAAAAAATTGTCCATTTTCCTAAGTTCTACTGGCAAGCCGCCTCCAGCCCCAGCAGCACCGGCCCAGGGGAACGTCCCTCCAATATAACTGACATAAGACCCACATTTTCGCAACTATGGATTTACCTACACGGTTAGACATGGTGAGCGCAAGCTGTGTGTGTCCTGTGCAATGAACTGCTCTCAAAGTTAGAGGCATTTACACCAAAGTTATTAAAAGGAGGCTGCCAAGTTCCTCATTAAGAATAAGTAAATCATAAAATGTAAGCTGACAATTATATTTCATAGTTAAAATTAAATGTTAGAATGTTTCTGATTTTAAATACGTCAATCACATTATTTTCAATTGTCAAATTGTAGTGGGCATGATGTTGTATTTGAGGGAGCTGGCCAGTTTTGCTAATTTTTCTGCTTTACTATATAGATGCTGCAGGTTGAGAATCATGCTCTACCACATGTGTGGGGTGTCTGTGTACAGGACAGTACAGGTTCTGAATAATCTCGTCCTGCCTTTGTGTTTGTTTTGGAACAACCACAATAACTTAACTTTTTAAATCACCGTCATCGCCAAGCTGTTGTACATTTATCTCTCCGCTAGGGGTCAGTATGCAGGAGGAAATGATAGCATTATCTGATGTTTTTAACAGTTTAACCATAGCGTTGAGCAATATCCTGCTTTCGTTTTCCTTTTCTATATCAGTGCTGCTGAGAAAGTTTTCAGCTTTACTTTATATAGTTACTATATTTAATGTTATATATATATATATATATATTAAAGATTACACAGTCAATTACACGTGCTTGGAAGTATTAATGCCACACACTGCATAAACTTGTGTTTTAAAACAACTTTCTCGAAATAAGGAGTTAAAATTTTATATATTTGGGCTTCCTTGTATTTATACTGCGTATAAATGTGCAGGAGCTGCGCAGGTGTGGTGTCCTGCCAGACACAGAGGAGAAGAGGCTGTGTAATGGACTGGAGCTGCTCTTCTACTGGAAGGAGCTGGTTATCAATTACTACATCCACAGCAACCTAAACCAGCATGGCTCTTATACCAAACTTCAAAGACATGCCATTCAAAAAGGTTTTTTGAAGATAATCGGGCAGTTCTTCATTCCTTAAAAAAAGCCAAAACCCCTAAAAGCTACACAAGTACTGAAAAAGAAGAAAAGAAACTCAAATTGAAGCCCAGGTCTGCAGATATCAATGCCACAGCACAGGAGAATCAGAGCAAAGCAGCGCAGAATTAACCCGAATCTCAGAATATTGCCACCAAACAGCTGAGATTAGTTACATTGACTTTTATCGCCATGCCAGCAATCAGAGCTATATTCATGCCGGAAAACAGGACACCGAAATGGACTGAACAAATAACAAGGTTTAAACTTCATACAACTTCATAAATTGTTACAAACAGTCAAAATAATCAAAATGTTTTTAAAAGATTAGATTTCAATACAAAAGCCTTAGTTAAATAGCCAGGAAGATGATAAACATGACAAAGGGAGCTCAAAGAGAGACAATACAACTAAAGGAAGGTGGGTCAGCCCATTATGCCCAATAGGACACCTTTTATAAATGATCTGGTCCTACCGGCTTTTAAAACTGCCTGTTGCACCATTTGCAAAAGGGATAATTTCATCATTTGTTATTAATGTAATTGTGTCATTCACTTTGTCACACTTATTACATGATCATACAAGACAGGTTTGAGGTCAGACAGTGGAGGTAAAAATTTCTGTGTATGTGAACTGAGTGCTTCTTAGTGACCATGTCTGCTTGTTTACTGCCAAGCAAACCGCAATGATGTGGGCCACAGCAGAAGCAGAAGAGCTGGGAAAATGCACTTTCTGAAATATCAAAACTTAATCTCCTATCTGGCTTTTCATACTGACTGTGAAGCTCATGAAAAACACATGAGCTTGGTCAAAGCAACACTGCAAGCACAGGGAGCAACATCTAGGGTTATAATCACAACATATTGTTGTTTCTTCTACATGTTTCTCCTGCTTTGACTCACAACAGGAAGTGGACAGCAGAGTTGCACTTACAGGGGAACTTCTCAGGGCAACGGAGCAGTCTTGGGCCTGGGATCCAGTGTCCTTCACCGTGGCGAACACCACCAGGACGTTGGAGAAGAGTGCAGAGAAGCTGAGCTCCACCACTGCGCCACATGGGAAGCTCACTAAACGCTGGGCTGGTAAATCTGAGGTGGACGAGACCACGGCACGACCATCAGAGGTCAACATTGAGGTGATAAGCAGGCAAACGGAGGAGATTTCGGGTTCATCCAAACGGCTCGCTGGGTCTCCCTCTGTACAGGTGACACTTCCAAGTCCACCAGCCGAGTGCATGGTCTTAAAAATCAATTTCTACATACAAATAAAAATAAATGAAAATTCCCTGTCATGCCAAATGCCCCCATTTCCATGCTGGCCCTCCTCCCACAACTTTCACCATGACTCAACCCAGAAATCGCTGCATATACCTCGGTTCAAGATCAAAGTGTAATGTGGGGGTGTCTGATCAGGGCCCTTAGAAGGGGTGGTGCTCTTCAACCTTTCATTTGAAGCGGACTCTATAATCCCCAGTCCTGGGAATCTCCCGGGTCATCATTTAGGGCATGGGGTTGGCGGCGGTCGTTTTGACTTTTTACAAGCTTCTCAGGGTTTGTGCTTAGTAAACAAAGCATGTGGTTAAGTGGTCTACCAAGGGGGGGGGGCATAATAGTGACAGACACACAGCTTAGGCTGAGACTTTCTCAGCCTAAGCTACTCGCCAGTTCAGGGCTACAGGAACCACAGCTTCGACGCCAAGCCCAGCCCGGGTCGGGAAGCTCCCCCGGGGCTGAAGACCCACAGACCCACCGTTGGCCTGCTTCCAGCACAGGTCCCGCAGAAGCAGCTCGCCCGTGTGCCCCGCGGCGCTGATGGGGTCCGCCAGCGAGCGTGGGTCCTTCAGCGTGTGGCGGATCTCCATCACCTGCTTCCCAGTTACCAGGGGGTCCCTACCCAGATCTGGAGGAGGAGGGACAGCGATTACGTCATCGTCCGCGGTGCTGTGGAGGAACACGATGTGGGCGTCACTAGTGGGGGGAGGTGGTGGAGATGCTTCCTTCCTGATTCGTAGTTAAGCCTGAGCGTTCCCCTGTGGCTCACCTCAAACACACGGTCATCCATGACACGGGGGCTCAGGGGGCAGAAGTAACTGCAAACCACACTTGACATCTAAGCACACTTCCTTAGACAGTGAAATGTTAATCTGTTTGACCTCTAAAAAAATGGGAAAAAAATAAAGTATATTTCCTTAATGATACAGGATCCTCTTGCTTGAGTCACATTTGTCATTTTGAAAGATGACAAGCAGCTCAGTGGAAAATCTACTCCCTGGTTTACAGATATTTTAAGCAAACTGAGAAGCAGCTCCCCCCCCCCCATGGGTACATTTCCCCGGGTGGGATCGGCTCTGACAGAGCAGCAGGGTTGTCCCACAGTGCACCACAATGGACACCCAGCAACCTCTCTCCATTCAGGCCTCATTTTAAGGACACAGCTCCTCCGAGTTCACAAAGTGTACTGACAGGCAAGTGCCCAGCGATGAGTTTCTCATTTTACCATGAACGCTAAAAGATTGCGCTAGTTTTACTCTCTTTAAATAAACATTTAAATAATACAATCATGTAGAGTGATGTAACTTTGGCCAAAAAAGGGAAAAAAAAATCTTCGGAATCTTGCGGCTCTCTTGACAAAGAAAAAAAAAAATGAATGGAATAATTATAGGCATCATAAGGGACGAGCAAACTGGTCAAGCAGCTTGCAACAGAGAAACGGCTGGAATCCGGAAGGGCTGTAGAGCTTATATCAGTGCAATATGAATCTGGATAAGATAAAACGTACTATTGTGTGTTAAGCTCTAGAAAAAATGTGTGCCGAGCAGCCTGATAAACGAGGAGCCTGAACACCGGCGTTTTCTCTTACGAACTCGTTAACGTCAGAGGTAAGTGCGGCTTGGGGGAGCCTTGGCCTTTTAATCATCGTTGAAGCATCTGGACCTGCGAGCGGCTCCGGAATGGAGGTTCAGGTTCCGGATGCCCACGCGGGCCGCGTCCTTGGCACTGCACCGTGCTCTGAGCTGTGCCCGGTGCCCGGTCCGTGGCCCCCGTGTGGCGACCATGGAGTGAGCGAGAGCAGCTGTCCCTGGGACGCGGGGGCTCGGGTTTCAACAGCAAGGAGGATGGGGGGTGTGAATAACCAGGAGATGAGGTCACAACGCCCCTGTTCCCGGCATGCAGCCACGTAACCATAGAGACTCAGAAAACAGCAACAAAATCTTCTCCCAACCCGCCAGTCTCGCACCTCCATAAGGATGGACGAGCCAAGACCAGTCACTCCATTCCAACTGCCAAAGCAGATCCAAAAACACACACAGTCCATGACCTCCTGCTGTCCCACCCTAACTGCCTCCCCCCCCCCGCCCCCAGGTGCTCCTGTTAACTGCTGCGGACACTAAACCTGGGTAGCCCCCGATAAGGAGCCGGCTGTAAAAATGGATGACACCCACAGAGAAAGTAAAAATGAAAAAAACACAGTGCCTAAACAGTGGTATAACAATTTTAAAATGTAAACATCCGGCAAAAAAAGGAAATCATAAAACACAAGTTCCACAAATAACCCTGGAGTCACCCCTGTAAACCGTGATACGGAGGGGAATTAACATACCGCGTAAACGGCAGGACAGGTCAAAGAGAACGCAGACGATGAAGGCAGGCCACTATCATTGCTGTGCTTCCCCCTATCGCGCTGCGATCGTGCGTGTCGCCCAGCTTACAGACGCACAGGTTGCCCCCGAGATGGGCGGGCGGGTTCAGCGTCGTGAGTACAGAAGGCCGGATGAGGAGACTGACCCTCGGACACCCGCTCCAGGACACGCGTGATCTTCTCAGGACGCAGGATGTTCATGTTCAGGTACTTGGTGAACACGCCTGTGCTCCGGCTGCCGTCCTGCACCTCGAATGCCTCTGCACCCTCGCACCTGGAAGCAGAGCACACATCTAATACCTCCCTCTTGTGAGCCTCACACCCCCTCTAATATTTAGTAGCTGACCATATATATATATATATATAACGTATGTAGCGGCCCACCTGGCCAAAGCTCCACCCCCCCATGAAATTGTCTCCCAAAGCATATCCAAGGCATCACTTCCCCTCCTTTCACTCACGTGGCAAATCCATACACAGTGTTGCCCAAAGGGTCAAGGGACTTAATTTCTGATGGGACACAGTGCTGGTTATACCTGAGAAAACCAAAATGCCTGTCAGACACATGCCACAGTTACCAATAAGACGAGGACTGGGAGTTAATCAAAGGGGGTGGTCACGTCAGTGGCGGCGGCTGGAAACGCTCTGCGGACAGCGACACGTACCACTTCCTGCAGGTGTCCAGCAGGACCACGTTGAGTGCCGTGTGCTTCTCCTGCATGCGCCGCATCACCCGCTGCACGCTGATGCAGTTCTCAGGGCGGTACGGCTGCGGGGCATCAATGGGCACCAAGTAATTTCTCCCCGAGCACTCGTACCCATGCCCTGCGTAGTAGAAGAGGGCTGGGGGGGGGGGGGCATATCGGTGGAGGAAGGTTGGTTGAAGTGTTGAAACACAGATGCACACAAAATAACCACAAAGGCCCGGACATCTGCATGTCACTGTCATTTTGAAGCCCGTCTCCTTTTATTTCCGTGTGTCAGAATAACAGTCGTCATTAATTATTAAGTTCAGCTCCATCCATCCATTATCTATACTGCTTTATCCATCTGGGTCACAGGGAAGCTGGAGCCAATCCCAGCATCTATTAAGTTCAGCTCATGATTCAGAAATGTAATAAAACCAATCATGTAATATGCAGTTAACAATGCGGTAAATATGCCCATCGAGGGGCGGGGGGGTTACTCCTGGGAGGGAGTGCTGCCATTTTTAAAGCCAAGATTAGTATCATAAAGGAAGAATTTTGAATTTGCAATTCTTTTCCAGAAATATTTAATATTCAGTAATAATTACACAGGATACTGTGCAACTTCAATGCAAAGTGCTGCATTCTTATTGCGCAATTACCTGATGATAGAAAACACAAATATAGTCACATATACATTACCTTTTATTTCTAAATCATGCTTTCAGTTCTGACATTTTGTTTGACGTCACTGCCGGATTACACAAAAAACAGGTATGTTTGCTCATAACTGCTTTAGAATGGTACTGCGGCAGAGCAAAGGACCTAAAAGAGCCAATCAGTTCAGCTCTGCTGCATAGCACAAGCCCCGAGAACAGCCAGTCAGAAGAGCTCAGTAGCGTGCAACCGTATCAAAGCAGAATCACTCTGTAGTAGCGATTTAGTGAGCTACTGACTCAGAGGAAATGACAAGAACTATTTATGGTCATGTCACATCGGCATGTATTGCAGAAGCTCTGTTACGGACATTTTCAAACCAAAACGTTTTCACTAATTGGAGACACTCACTTAGGGTCTGCCATATATCTGAATCCTACTGGTATTCCACTGACCCTAAGGCACAAGCATCCAAAGGATCTCTCTGATAGCTATATGCTGATATATTGATATGTCTGTTCGCATCGTATTCATTTCAGTGTGTCCCCATGTTTTCAAAAGGGAAAATACAGTCAATGGGCTTTATTTTCACAGACGAAACACCAGGAGTAGAAATGCTCTTAGTATGATCTGTAACAACTGGTGGCTTCATTTTACTTTATGATCTCTCATTTCTTTGTCTTTCCTTTTCCCTGTTTTTGTATGATTCTCTCTTAATGATGTTGTATCAGCACACCCATGTACAGCGCCTTGGGGTGACTCTGTTGTGAAAGGCGCTATAAATAATAATGGAGGGTTTGTCTCAAAACCTGTTACTTTGTATTATGTAAAGATTACTACAAGAGTAGGAACTGATATTGTGAAAGAATATATCTCTCCCCTCCCCCCTCTCTCTCTCTCACACACACACACACACACACACACACACAAAATTCAGTATATTCAGCATTTTTTAGCAAGCACATGACAGAAGCAGTCTGGTGCTTTTTTCTTCTCACTTATATTTTCCATTTTTGGTCGCCAAACTCACCAAAAGCCTCGAAAGAAGTCTCCCACACAGAGAGCTACTGCAAAAAATTCATGGAATCCAACCAAACTGATTTCTCATTAAAAGGAACTGCCACTATTTCTCTGAACACAAGTGAAATAATCTTTAATGGCAAAAACTGCCATTTTAAACAGGCATGAGAAAGGCTGTCTCCCAAAGGCTGTGCCCTTTCTCAGGGAATAGGGGGGGGGGGGTCCCAGACTGACACAGTGCCAGTGCTAACACTGCAGTACATACCAGCTGATTCATGCCTTAAAATCACAGAAGTATTATATCAACAAGAATGGCAAAAGGAACATGGTGACATCACAACAGAACTGCTACTATTACAGGAGGTGAGAAAAGGTTTCACAACCTTTAACAAACAAACCAAACAAAAAAAAAACCAAATCTACATCAATGAATCGGCTTGCCTTCTTGACAAATGCATTACTTCCTGTGCAGTGGGAAAGGCTCCGTTTGCGTCCTGCCGTTAAAACGTACCGTATACCCCCCTGTCCAGCAGCTGCAGGAACTTCTCGATGGACGCCAGCATCTCGGCCTTGGTGAGGTCCAGCAGAGACACCACCCTGAAGCCAAGCCCCCGCAGGAGGTTGGACAGCTCGTGCACATCCACCACGGGGGCCATCAGCACAGGATGGTGCTGGTAGTTTAGGTTGCCGATCAGCAAAGCCACTTTGTCAGTCGCTAGGTAAGAATAAGGGCAACCAGGTTACCTAGACCCTACGCAACGTCTAATTCAAATCTTCAACCAAGACTGGCCTTTAACCAACAAAAAATGTGGAACAATACAGATGGCAGATGGGAATAATTATTAAATCTTGCATCAGACTATAGCTATGCAGTGACTAATGGAGGGGGAAATAAATATTTTATATATATATATACACACTGAATATATATTGCACTGTCACTTTTCCTGTATGAAATTTAGGCCACTAATAGCAGCTAACTTACCAGCGAGTCTCTTTAAGGTGATGTTTTCAGGAAGCACTAAGGGACAATAAATGAGAGAAACATCCTGTCAAACTTCACAGTGTAACTATTTACCTCTTTTCAGAAACCAGTTATTTTGACCAATAACCTGGAGAAAGTGATCAGCTGTGGCGTGACTCTAGTAAATCTGTATTGCATGTACTTGACAGAGTACAAAATAATATAAGGCTGAAATTGGGGAAGTACATATTTTAAGTGCCGTTTTCACTTTGCATCACCCTGCTGTGCAAATATTCACAGATCTGAATAAACTATTCCAGTGTTCCCTGATACTGCAAGACCTTAAAGGGAAAGTACCCTCATGGCTTCTGGTGGAAATACCCATTAAATGGCATTATAAAAAAACAACACATCACGTGATGTACGCAGCGTAAACGTTTTCACAACAGCTTTGCTCTTAATTCTTCGCAGAAAAGGTCAGTTTAATGGACTGACTGCTGGCTTCAGCTGCTCCTAGCAAAAGGGGACTAAATATGCATGCTTGGCTTTTTGCCCATTTTAAAATAAGTTCCCCCAATTAAGGAAACAAAATGGCAAGCCAGAGAGTTTCTTTCCTCCCTCGGACAAATGTGGGGTCAGTCATCTGCTATTCCAGCCCCAAATACGTTCCCAGGAACATAATCCACCAGAGAATCAGCCAGTCAAACCACGACCAGGGGGCCCCCTCGAGGTAGCCGTGCGGTCGGGGGCCACACATACTCGGGTTCCCCCATGATGTCACTGGGCCCCAAACTGACCAGATATCCTGCACATTTCCTACCTATCTCAGCTGACTCTGTCCACTTCTCTCCAAGGACATTTGATGCACAGCAGAGGTAAGACCCTGCATGCTCTTCATCTGCGTTTTCAATCTGCAAGCAAAAAAATACAATGATTTGCTCAGTAACAAATTTAGTGAATTATAATATTTCACATATACTGCTACTATACATACTACATATCTTTAGCATCAAACTCACCTGGACATTAGATAATTGGATATTCTATTGGACTACCTAATTCTTAAATTATTACTATCATTACCACCTAACAACAAGCAAAACAACAAAAAATGTAAACAATAATACAACAGCAACTAAAACCAGTTAGAGAATTTGAAAATGTCACTCTTGATTTGATGCAGCTTATTTTGTCTGATTAATAATGCAAAATGGTCTCATTGACGTCCATCCCCATCCTACATCAATGTCACCTGTACAGCTTCAGTGATGTCTCTGTTGTTCTACACCAGTCTCACCTGTACCGTCTCAATGGCTTTGAATCCCAACCTACACCATGCTCACCTGTACCGTCTGATTGACGTCCCTCCTCATTCTACATCAGTCTCACTTGTACCGTCTGATTGACGTCCATCCCCAACCTACACCATGCTCACCTAGACCGTCTCATTGACATCCATCCCCATGCTACACCAGTTTCACCTGTACCGTCCCAATGACTTTGAACCTCAACCTACGTCTCACATGTAGTCTCAGTGACGTCCTTCCCCATCCTACATCAGTCTCACCTGCACCATCTCAGTGACATCTATACCCGTCCAATTTCTCAATTTACTCAATTTCCATACATAAGTAAAATTACAGACACTCCACCAAAATATTACTCAAGTAAATTATCCAGTAATTTACCAAAAGTAGCAAATGCCTTGTTTTTGAAATATCAAAAGTAAAAAGTAAAATTCTTTCAAATCTATTTACCTTACAAAAAAACAACTTATCCTTTTAAATGCATTAAAGACAAGTTTGAATATAACAATGTTGTGCAAGTTACAGTGCATCACAATAAGCAAAACTGAACTGCAAGAGGATAAGCGAATATTTTCTTTTTATTCCGGAAAAGCAGTTGAATGTGTCAAGCTTGCTGGTGCAGATAAGCAGAGTGACATTTTTATTCTCTAGAAAGTTCAAGATCGATCTACACGCCAGATTTAATAAGGAATTATAAACATTTCGCAGGCTGGTATTTTTAGACGCCTTATAAGCTGTGATTGAGCTGAAGAAAATCCTCCTCCTACACTATAGAAAATGGCTGATTGTCCAATGCTGTCATCTCCATTACATTAGTAGTTGTGTCTTTACCTCTGGTGGTGCTAACTCTGAAATATAAGTATATTAATCGATATATATTGTCTCTCTCTACATATTGTTTGTTCCATCTCCATAAAGAGAATATGCAATGCAAAACAATAAAAGAAAGTGATATACTCCTGAGTAAAACAGAAACAAATCGTGATTCGCCCAGAATCGTGCAGCCCTACTGTAAGGTTTTTAATTAAATGAGAAACAATGATCTCATGCAGACTATACTGGACTAAAAGTCATTATTTGACTCAGGAATATAGTGAAGGGCGAAGTGAAAGGAGAAGATGCAAGAGTTAAGAACAAATCCAGGAAAAAAAACCCACTTAAGTAAAGTAATGAAGTACTTGCACTTCATTACTTCACACCTCAAATGCTGCTCCTCCACGTGCTACTGCAGTCTCTCCGGCAGGATCTCCCGACCAAAGCAGTCTTACCTCCAGGGTCTCAGCTGTCGCTCCCGGCATTAACAGCCCATTGTGGTACCACTGTAACTGTGGAGCTGGGATCCCGAAAGCCCAGCACTGCAGTGTGATGCGGCCCCTGCGTTGGACCCTCTGCGACTCAGGCTGCAGAGCGATATGGGGTTCCCCCCGCCACGATGCATGAAGGCCTGTGGAAGAGGTGTCACACAGATACTGAGAGATCAGCATGATCAAAGAACCCTACAGACTTTAACATTTTAAATGAAACCTGGTTTGGTCTTTGACTGGACAGACCAACATAAAAACAAATGTTTATGCGATGCCTTGTTACTGTTCTCAGCTTTAAGAAAAACTCGCTTGGAACACCAAGATCCAGGATCAATACCTGGAGAAACTTCAGCCTTTAACACCTTCACTTTCACCCAGTTGCTGAACACGAAGTTGTTCTGCTGGTCGTTGATTCGGCACACGAAGTACTGCTTCCTGTGAGCGCTGATGACCAAATCTGACCTTGTACCACCGGGAACCTTGGAAAAATAGCCCAAGCCATTAAGTTCTCCACTTGCAAAGAGACAGCAAGTCAGGGTTAGGCTCCCAACAACCAGTACAGTGCATTATGCTTCTCTAAACTGCCCAGATTGTGTGTATGTGTGTGCCATATGAGGGACTGGCATGCCATCTGGGATCTACCCCTGATTGGTGCCCTAAGCTACCTGGAATACGACCCTGACCAGGGAAAAATCACTGACAGACAGATGAGAAAGATCATTGATATATTCTGCATGATGATTAATGAATGTCACGCATAAAAATCTGGGTACACATCAAGCCGATGGCAAAACGCTAACACCAACCAATACCGATGACTGGTCGGCATCTGTTGATTGTGAAAATCTCTGCTGGAACACATCAGCATGCCTAGAAGTGGTGGTTGACATACAGCCCAATCAGAGAGCTCAGTTTCTCCTACTAGCTCTGATGCTAATTCAACATGCTAAGTCGGGCAAAACAGTGCCAACTGTGACCAACTGTGTCCGACCATGCGGCTCACGCGGGCACGATGTTCAGTCACCGACTCTCACGGCGACCATGCCGCTCATGCGGGCACGATGGGCAGTCACCGACTCTCACGGCCACCCCAACAGCTTCCAAAGGCCAAAGATCGGCTTGGTGCGTTCCAGGCTTATGACTATTGCAGAATTTTTTTGGTAACTCACCACTTCCTCTTCAGACTGGAACCACTGGTACTGTAATGGGTCCAGTCCCACAGCCCGAACACTCAGAGTGACCGTGTAATTGTATGGGACACACACGGACAGGGGCTGCTGAACTATCACAATTTCTGCCAAAAGACGGTAAAGGAGGACAATATTCATCTGCATTGGGTTTCCTTTTGTATTAGTTGAGACGCTCAGTGCACAGATTATTATGGAGGAATGCCTACCATTTATCATGATTTTCAGCACTTTGCTGTGGAATGAGAGACACTGGACCATGAACACCAGCCTCAGATGTCACTACATTGTGCCACCTGTCAAAACAAAGAAATATATGCAATGCATGTACAGCACAAACTACACACTCACTCAACTGTACAGTTAGAAAGGCAATATTTGGGTTTATGTGACATACTGTACTTTCCACAGTGTTCCATGGTTACCATCACAGAAACATCCTTTTATGTGAAAAATCCTTCACTCAGCATTTTTTCATAAATTACATTCCAAAATTGCATCACACAAACAAACATGACAATTCATGAAAATATCCTTTCTTCTTCTGCATTTTGTTACAGATGCCTTTACACATACTGTAATGTACACAACTCATATTTAATATTGATATCTGAATGCTGAAGACTTGACGGTTCCCCATCTACAGTCAGACTTTGACTTGTATCTTCTTTGGTCTTGTTGCCCAACAACACAGTCACACGCAGACAATAGAGACTTTCTATTCACAAAAGCCCAACAGCTCTCTCGCTGTACTCAGATATGTGTCACCTTGGGTTAATGAGTTCCCTCACTCAGCTGTGTAGATCATTTAACTTTCAAACTTTTATGCCATTTTCTATGGAATATTGAATAGCTAAGTTTAAAATTAAAATTTTATGACTCATTTATATACTCAAAAAAGCTTAAATATCATTATATAATAGTAACACACACAAATAGAAATACATAAGTGCGTTGCTAGTATTTATAATCATATAACCATTTTATATCCAATATATAAATATTATAATAGGGTTTATAGATGTATACAATGTATCTTTACAACCAAATATTACATTACTAACATCAAACCCAAAATTGAATTCAACGAAATTTAACAAAACATTTTAAATGTTATAGATTTTCGGCTTTATTCTCATTACCAATAAATACCCTATATGTTCAGTGGAATATGATAGATACTAAATCCCGCAGACAGCAAACGAAACAACACTGAACAACCCTAAAAAAGACACACGCAGCAGGTAACAATTTTATTATTCGACTTCTACTTACTTCACACGTCTGACGTTGAAAGTTAGAAAGTTAGCGAAGTACACCTGCACAGTCAGAAACAAACTTGGTAAATATTTTTCTCAATACATACCAGCTGCAAGACGCCACAGCACACAAGGAGACATTATTAAAAGCATTACTGTTACGTCTGCGCTACTATACGGCAGTATATTCAGGTGAAATTAATTTACCTTTCTACTGAAACTTCCAGTACAGTTGGTTATAGAACAACCAACAACTAACACAAATCTCTTCTCTCACCCAAAAAAAAAACCTCCCCTTTCCGGAAACCATGTGTAACCACTCCTATTACCGTATCATCTTGTATATTGGTGCCAAAAAGTTATATTTTTGTTATACCAAAACTCACAAAGAAACGTGGAACAAGACTCAGTGTTTTATTTCATGTGTCATATTTATATTCGAGACGCTTTCTCTAAAACAGTAGTACTTCGTTAAACGGTTTAGTATAGAAAACATTGATGTGTCCTGTATTATGATTCAGGGCATGATTTCACCAGTTAAAATGAGGCGAAAAGTCTTCAGATCATTTTTTCCTGAACGTCAACCAGGATTCTTGTTATTCCTGGTGGCATCTGTATTATATAAGGATTACAAAATCAGACTACGACTATCTATCTATCTAAATATGTCTTTATATACATATATATGTTCATTTGCTAATTTATTCATTTGTTTATTTGCCTATTTATGAATTATTTATTAACATTTGTTCTTGTTATGAAGATGACAATCTTGACATGAAAACTTGATGCTTTATAGCAGAAACTACAAGTCCAAGAGCAGTACGTGTTTCGCTTGCAAAAGAAAAATGTTTTGTTATAAATTTCAGAAAAAAAAGTTATTTCTTCAAAGAATAATTTTACGTTTCTTGTGTTTCTTTTAAATGATCGTTTAATTGGACAATTGGATATAATTTGATTCATAAAAATATAAGCCCACTAATTAATATTTTACAAAAAAAACAACTTATAGGCCCATAAAAAGGTGTGACAGGGTTCGTTCTGTGCAACCATTGCCCGTCCTTTTCGAGGGCAGCGTGTAACTAAAGAAATTTTATGTTTGTCAAGCAAACCAAGGTGACAGTAGACTTATTAGAGTAGAACTTATTGCGTTTATAAGTGGATTTTCAAGGGCAGAATCCAGGCCTAATTAACAAGATCCTTTCAAAACATTTGTTATGACAGGTCTTTTCATCAGCAGCGCCTTTAGTTTGAAAGCCCACAACCAAACAACACCCATAAACAAACAGCAGTAAAAAAAAGAAAAATACCAGCATACAAATATATATCGATGTTATTTTTAAGTTGTCACTTCCTGATTATGCACAATAATTTTATTTTGATGCGTAGGCCTATATGAATTTACTTTTTTTTTTTGGCTTTCTGTCCATTCCTTTGAGTTCTCCCTAGTGAGGACACTGGTATGAGGCAAGTAGTGTAGAATGTGATATGGTCTTGTGTCTATTTATGGGCCTCCTATAAATAGGGTCAGCTCTTGGGGGAGCGTGTGCACATGTTTGATTGATAATTGCGAACCCCCTCGGAATATCAGCCTCTCCAAAGGACAGTAAGAAACATACGATTGGTAAGTTTAACAACAAAAAAAACGCAAGAAAACGTGGTGTAAAATAAACGAATTAGTTCAGAGCAAAGTTATTCAAGTTACGTGGATGATGGAAATTCTGAAAACAAGACTCCTTATTTTCAAGAGATTTGTTTGTTTCGGTAACAGTATATGTATGTTACTTGTACTTTGTATGACTAGACACGTGTTCTTTTTTTCAGCAACAATTGTAATACGGACGCCGTTTTTGTAATAGGACTTAGTTTCGGCGCATCACGGAGGCGGTGAGCCGCAGCACCGAGAGGCTTGAGTTTCTGCCCTAAACTGTGATCCGTGCGAGAGGCTGATCCAGGGCACCATGAGCTCCAGGAGACCTATCGGCCGCTCCTTCTCTTTGAACGGGAGGAGCGGCAGCGAGAATGAAGAGGATGCGATGGTCCCGGCTATCAGGGCGGACAACAGGAACTACCTGATTAACGTCAGACCCGAGAATCGGTAGAGCCTCCCCTCACTTTCTATGTTAATTATAACGATGAGACCAAGCTGAAGCGACGTTTATTTAAATATCAATAGGATATATGTAATCAAAAACATTTGGTTAGAGTTAACTTTTTAAAATAATAATATTTTCAAATAGTAATTTTGGCATGGGCTGTCTGTGATCACATAATTCCACTGAGTCCCTAAATTTAATACTGTTCCTACGAAGAACTGCATAAAAGGTGAATCACCGTCGTTAGCAGAAGCTTATTGGTTGGTTTAAAAACTGGCCATGAAGAGCATCTGGTTAAAAATAAACAGTATCACACTAAAATTAGCTTTTGGAAGTACAGTTACCAAATACTCTCCAGCGCAAAAGTTAAAAGTTTAAAAGCAAAATGTAATTTCATGAGAATTGTAGCCCTCCACAGGCTAACTGCATTTAAAAATCGTATTATATTAGTTTTAGACAAAGAACCGCGTGTATAATATCGTGTCTCAGAAGGCTGAGTTGATATGTCCTAGTTGGTTGTTTGCAGGAGCTTGTAGATTACGTCGTTTGCATGGGATTCCTCTACGTAATCCTGTGAAATGGACTCTATAGTCACTGTATGTGCACGTATGAACACATATGTATGCGTGCAGACCCCGTGATCCTGGGTGCGCCCCGCCCACCGGGTCAGGATCGCAACAGAATTGACTGGGTCGTTGATGTTGGATCTTGCTGTCTTCACCACTGGTTATAGGTTAAATCTAGAATTTTAGGTTTATATTACTTTTGTACCAAAAAAGCCCCTTTTATCATTCGCATGTAAGTTATAGTTAACTAGTTGAATATTTCCCAAAACTAGTATACATAAAGTGTGAAAATTGCTATATCGTGTGGTGATTTAATACTGAAAACAATTTGCGTTATGCTGTCATACACCAGTGCCTATATAGGGCACATTATACCAGATTATTTTAGAAATCAGTTTTATCCTTTTTTTGCATGGCTGATATAATCAAAGGAATTCTGTCTTCAGACATAAAACGCTAAAACATCCTTCCAGCTGTTCTGAGGTCAATGATTTTTTTTCTAAATATTAAAAAAATTAAGACATTCTGACTACATCGTGGCGGCGTGGTGATCGCCTCTCGCCTCTGATGTAGTGCATGTGACTCCCAGCCCTATGCCCGTGGAGTCTATACGCGACCCTGTGGTTGTGTGAGCTTCCTCCCCGCAGAGCAAAAAAAAATGTGATATAGGTGAACCCGAGTCTCTGAATTGCCCCCGGTGTGTGAGAGTCTGCATCCATGCAGGGAATCGGCTGCTATCTTCCCTATGATCACTTGGATAAGAGCCAAGCTCTGTGTCATGCTTTACTAGATAAGGATGAGGATCAATATTACGAAATGTTGGTATTGTGAATGTATGAAGACAATATTTACAAACACATTTATCGCTTGTGATCTTCCTTGAGCACTTACAGCCATGAATAAAATTAAGAGACCACTCTATTCTTTTAAACAAATCTGCATTTTTAGATCCTATTTTAATCATTGTTCTGCTGGCAGAAGCTACACTGAGCAGCAGGTTGCTTCCAGGTTCGAAATTTCTAAGACAGCAGCACACAAGAATAAGGTGAAGCAGGCCATAAATTGCGAAATGAGAAAAACAAAAAACTGAGCTGTGGTCTCTACATTTTTTCCACGGTTGTATTTGTATTATGTGCTACTTCAGTTACCCCTGTCAATAAAAACTAAACAGTTCTGATTCATCCTTCACACACTATGGGCAATTTAGAGACACCTATTAGCCTAATTGCATGTCTTTGGGCTGCGGGAGGAGACTGAATTACTTGGAGGAATCCTGCACGACACAGGCAGAACATGCTGACTCCATAAACAGAGCGGGCTGGGATTCAAACCACCAACCTTACGGCTGATTTATACTGCCATGTCGGGCCTACGCAGAGCTTACGCCATGGCCTATGTACAGTAAGTAGCCAACGCCCCTGCAAGCATTTATACTTGTGCGCTGTCTACATTGCCGTGCTGCGTAGTTAAATTTCTGGGGAGATGCCCGTCAGACTATGGCACAGGGCACGTGGGTATGCCGTACTGATGCCGTAACGACAGCGTAGATTCTATGCAGTCGTATAAATCAGCCTTCGGAGGTGTGAAGTCACTGTGCTGCCCAGTGATTACAGTTGTTTCGGTTCATACTTCTCAAAACTGCATTTCCTTAAACATTAATAGCTAGTTAATTAAAATTGCGGGCTTGTTGTGGGCATATATAATTCATATACATTTGAATTTTAATAATAGTAAATATGTCAACAGACTGTGGCAAGTTGGATTTAATTTTTCCATCACAGTAGTGATTTGGTAATATCTTAAAATAATTTTCATCCAGTACTTCTTCATAGTTGACAAGGCGTGCTGTAACAAAAGTATTTAAGGTGGATCTTCCTGGGTTCTGCAGGAGTACATTGTCCAGTGTGATGTCCCATCTGACTGAGGAGACGCAGCCCTTGTTTGAGACCACCTTAAAATCCAGGGCAGTGTCAGAGACTGCCAACGTGAAGTTCACCTGTGTCATCTCAGGTTAAGCTTCAATGCGAATGTGAATACGGCAACTGACTGAATCCTTGCTTGTATTATTTCAGACATATACACCTGCATGTGTGTTTCGAAGCTGACTTTCTAACATCTAAAGCTGTGTGGAGTTTAAACAACACTTATTTTAAAGATAAAGATCCTGTATGTATTTTTTTTTAGCAAATATGTGAACATACTACGCCGCTATGTATCATAATTATGTGCTGCATTTATATTATAAATGCAGATTCGGTTTACCCACAGCAGCAGTAGCTATTGTTAATATGCCATCCACATTGTCTCTCTCTCAGGCTACCCAGTCCCCGAGCTCACATGGTACAAAGATGACATGGAGCTGGACCGATATTGCGGCCTTCCCAAATATGAGATATTCCGCCATGGGAAAACCCACACTCTCCACATCTACAAGTAAGTCCAGGCTTGGCTATGAAAGATTCTAATGAAGAATTCATATATTATTGACAGTGGGAAAAGACAGATAATAATAGCAATAAATGTACTCAGTTTTCATTATACACAATTTTTGGTAACACTTTACATTAACTGCACCTTCATATACCTTTATAATGCATTTAAAGCATGTTCATAAGCAGCATATAAGTACACCTTACCATCCTAACATACATTAACAGCTTTAATGTCCCTGCCGGCCCCTGGAGGATGGGCTCCCCCTTTGAGTCTGGTCCCTCCCAAGGTTTCTTCCTTCTAGGGAGTTTTTCCTTGCCACTGTCGCCTATGGCTTACTCACTGGGGGCTTTGGGTGGGGATGCATTTAAGTGCTTTGAGACGATATAATGTTGTGATACTGCGCTATACAAAAATACATTTGTTGTTGTTCTTGTAATATGCATTAGAAACAAACGTTATGGATGTTAAGGTATACTTACATGTTGCTTTTGAATGTTCTGTGAATCCATTATGAATGCATTATGAAGGCACACTGAATGTTCTATGAATGCATTATGAAGGCACACTGAATGTTCTATGAATGCATTATGAAGGCACACTGAATGTTCTATGAATGCATTATGAAGGTGCAGCTAATGTAAAGCGTTACCAAAAAGACAATAATAATTACAATAACTATATTCAGATGTTAGGTGTGGAATGGAGTGTGAGTGTGCCAGGTGGTGGGTTGGCGCCATGGCTGGAATGTTCAGGTCCAGAAAGTACAAATCCAGACCAAGGTTTTGTTTCAACCAACCAATTTAGTGTAGTACTCAAGTGGTTGGTTGACAGAAAACCATGATCTGGATTTGTGCTATCTGGACCAGAACTTTCCACCTCTGGTTGACGCCTCATCTGGGATAGGCTCAGGACACCCATGACCCTGAATAGGACAAGCGGGATTAGAAAATGGATGGATGGATGGATGGATAGTCAGTTCTCATTATATACCATTCTAAAACATCATGTATCCCCCCATTCTGTTTAAATTCTGCTGAGTGAGTCAAAAACACATGAATTGCGTAGTTATTCCATTTTTATGCATTTACTTCTCAGTGAGGGGTATTTAAAATAGGCACAGCTACCCCCCCCCCCTAAATTGAGAAACTTCTGTATTGTATGAATCCATTTGCATTGTAAAACTTCCTAAACAAACATACAGTCCTGAGATGATCTGCTTGCTTTACTGTACTTTTTCGTCCAGCTGCACTGAGGAGGACGCAGCCATATACCAGGCCTCAGCCAGGAACTCCAAGGGCATTGTGTCCTGCTCGGGGGTGCTGGAGGTGGGCTCCATGAACGAATACTGCATCCACCAGCGCTTCTTCAACAAGCTGAAACAGAAGGCTGAGGCCAAGCGTAGAGAGAGGGAGGAGAGTCGGCTGAGGGGGGAGAAGGTCCCGCCGAGGGTGGGCAGCCCTGAGCGCGTGCAGAGGAAACGCCGTTCCCCAGGAGAAGTGCACCCTGGGGTGCCCCCCCTGCCCCGAAAGGCAGGTGTGCCAGCGGAGCCCGAAGGCACAGGGGGTCCGGTTGTGGAGGCAGAGATACCCAATGGGTATCCCGCTACAGCTGGAAATACCCCAGTGGACGTGCCCAGTGATGCGAGGAAGGAGGAAGGTGGCCAGTTCTTCCGGAACATGGGCAGCCCAATCAAAGAGCCCCTGGCCAAAAAAAAAATCAAAACTACTAACGGGACAGCCAGCGAGACCACCTTCCAGAAATCAGCACCAGGATCTGGACCCGAGAAAGAACCTAGAGATGGAGGAATGAGTCTGTCCCAGTATCTGGCTGCTGAGTCCCAGCAGGCTCAGGTGTCACCAGAGGAGACACTGAAGAGGAGCAAAGAGAGACGGGAGGGTGTGGGGCAGCTGCCATCGAGCTCTAACAGCTCACCAGCAAAGGGCAGGGCGACCAGTAAGGAGCCGGAACAGCACAACACACAGTCTCCTCTTACCTCGGTCTTCTTCTCTTTGAGGGACATTTTCTTTCGTGGTAAGAAGAACGCTGAAGACGTAGTGCAGGATGGCACTGCTGGCCCATTGCCCCCGGGTACTGATTCCCTGCCAGTTGGCATCCCAGTGGACTCTAACCAGGTTGCGGAGGATGGGGAATTGGTGGAGCCGGAAGAGATGGAACATCAGCCAACTGACACACATGTGACCCAATCAACCTCAAAGGCCGTCTGCCCTGATGTCCCACATGGCCTCATGCAAGGACTCATGAGTAGGGAGGAATCTACACAAATACTTTCTGAGAACCAGGCCACCTCAACCCAGTGGGAGAACGAACAGGACAAAATTATGGCGTCCGTGAAGGACGAAATCATCATGCCAGATCCTGTCCCTCAGCCATTGCAGGAATCTACGGTGAGCATGCTGTGTTTTTTTTTGCCTGAGCTCAGGAGTTTTATCTCCAACTCTAGTTAGGAAAAGAAACATGATGGGCACTTGGAGGGTATTTATAGAAATCTGCGTCTGTGGAACGCCACCATGTGACACAAGCTCCAACTGACAACAACACATAGTTACACCAGCAGCACATATCATACAACCCAAACTCAAGTACACGCAAGCTCCAGCCGTTTATTTGCAAACAAACATGTTAACATGAATTCGCAAGGCTAATGCTGGGACATACCAGATACTTATGACTAGCATGAAAACCCGATACATATGACTTTTAAATGATTCATTGCATTGGATTCATTCCATTTAGATCACGGGCGGCCAATCCTACCCAAAAGGGTCGCTGTATATATGCTTGTTTTCACTTCAAATCCCTAATTAGATTACTAATTAGAAGACTGATTGACTGAAGACTCCTCACACCTGGTTTGGAACAGGTGACCTAAAGTTTATATCAAAAACCTGCACACACACTGGCCCTTTGTGGGTAAGACTGGCCACCGCTGATCTAGATATATTGCTCAAAAGATCTGGGCAGGAATTGCTGAGAAATGAGGACAGCAGAAGAAGCAGAGTTCTATGGATAGCTCAGAATACGGAGGGAGAATCCGGCCTGTTTTTTTTTTTTACTTGGGCATCCACTGTGATTTTGGTATCCGTCACACCTGAGTGTTGATCCTATCTTAAATGATCCGAGGGATCATTGGTCAGTGTAGCGTGGTTTTAGTCAGTGTAGTGGAGACATTCCCTAATCTTGACTTTGATACCTTAAAATAGACCTCTGTCCAAATGCTGGGCTGGTCTCAGTCTGACCATAATGAGGGTCAGTGTGAATTGGTGCCTCTTATGGTTACTGCTGTCAATGTCAAGGTCCCATACATTAATATAAAGAGCTAATGTCAATGGCTAAAAAAATGCTGCTTTCCCAAATTGCAGGAGGGGAACTTCCTAGGGAGCAAATACTTCAGTTAATATGGTAAATACAGACCATTGAGTACATACCAACTCCATATGTCATGGGAAAAATAAGTAAATACCAGTTTCCTGGTCCTGGTTGCCATTTATATTCAGATGACCTTATAATTAATTAACTAGAGTAATATATAAATCCATTGGCGATCCAGACAGCTGAAAGCATTGGATGAGGACTCCAGTCTTAATATGAAGTTAATCTGAATGCAAATTTATTCTGTTTGTTGGTTTCCTAATTAATAATATAAAAGAATAAAAGGCTGAGATATATTAGTACAAATGTATCTATCCTATTTTAAACATTATCATCTATTTGATTAATAGAAATAATGAAGATATGAGGACGTTCGTTAACTAGCTTTGTTTGTAATCATACATTATCTGCATGCCCTGACCATTATTATACTTTACATATAAAAATTTGAGAGAAACATCCATCTGTCCACTTTCAAACCACTTATCCTGCTTACGGTTGGTAGACGTGGGGAACATTCACATCCTATGGCTAATATGGAATAAATGGTTGGAAAACTCATGGGGAGAACATGCTACAGCACACAGAGCGAAAATGGGATTCAAACCGCCGGCCCTTGAGGTGTAGGACTGCAGTGCTCCACACTCTGAGTCACATTTAGAGCAGTATTTCTCAATCTGGTGCTCGGGGACCACCAGAAAGTCCATGTTTATGGGAGCTATGGGAGCTGGGAGGGAGCAAAAATGTGGACAGTCTGGGGGTTTCCCGAGGACCGGGTTGAGAAATACTGACTTGAGTGAATCGACATAATAAATAATACACATATAAACAAATGCTTTTGTTTTGAATTCGATGTTATCCGAAAAATGCTAGTGGCGGTTCAGCTTGTAAAAGTGCTTCCTGTTTTGCACAAAGGTTGTGAGTGTGATCTTTTCAGTAATAGTGTAATAGTAGATGTGGTAACAGTTTCCTCCTGCAGTGTGTGTCGTGATGCTGGTATGTTTGAGTTTCGGTCTGATGACAGCCTCTAGGTTCGATTCTTAAATTCTGACAGAGCTCACACCTGTGCCGTGACCCCCCCCCCCCCTGCGGTTTTCCCTTTAATGGGGAACTGCAACAGGTCGATCCCTGTGGCCACGTGGTGGGTGGAACTACATCTTCACTGTGCATATATGCATGTGAACATCTAACTTCTGCAAAACGGAGACTGATTGATGCGGGAAGCTGCCTCTTTCCTCCCATGAAATTCCTGTATTCGTTTCAGCATCTTCTTCCATGTTCAACTCCATTAATAATCTTATACCGCAAAGACAGAGAGTGAGCATCACTGCAGAATGTTGCTGAATCCAGTTCAAACTAGTTCGGCGGGCGTATATTAATTGCTATCTAAGTCAGCTTTTTCTCATATCTGGTTAAAGTATATCTATGTTATCGCATGAATCAGAAGTTAAAGTCAAATGCCTGGTGAAGATTTTAGATTTCTGCCACATGTTTGGGTGTTGAGTGTTTTCTCGACAACTCAAGATCAAGAACAGCAGGGGAAGCAGGTGTTATTTTGGTTAAAGAAACTGCTACTTTAAAATCTTGTGGTCCCTAGCAGAGGTTTTGCTTTCTGGAACAAAGTGATTAATCTGCATTCCTCCAGTAACAAAGTGCAGCTGGACAAACTGAAATTTATGACGTATAAATCAGTTTGGATTGCTGGTATTTTGTCATTTTCTTAAGGTTCAGACTAGGAATGATAAGATATCTCTTAAAAATGATCCCCCCCCCCATTTCTGTACATGATTGATCACATGCTAGGGACGGGGGGTAGGGGGGGGGGGGGGGCTGCTGTTTCATCACAAGAAATTTTTGCTGAGTGCCATCAGCAGCATAGGAACACACCTCAGACACAGGCAAGAAGGTGCACATGCTGTCCAAGCACCTGGCTCAGCACCAGCCTGGTTCCATCCTGCCAGCGTGACCAGCTGCAGCGGCTCTCGGCGTCAGGGGCCAAGGTGGAAAAGGACAGTCATTGCACTATATATAGGGCCACAATCTCCATTTTGCCTCTTTAGGCTTTGACGTCTTCTATGTCTGTGAATCTAGTGAACACCGGCATCAAGAGGTCTGCAGACCTCTCACAGAAGCTCTGATGCCTCTGAGCTTCAGCAGATGGGCAGATGGCACAATTAGAGGTACATAGTGAGTTGTCAGTAACTGAGATGACATGAAGGGGTCAAAGGTCAGACGGGGCCCCTGCTTCTTCACCCATGACAGAGATTCCTGACTCCCTCAGTAACTGTACAGCTGTTAAGATTCATACAGAGAGGAAGCAGCAATAGACTGAATCACTCAGAGATGTCTGCCGGTAATCGTGTAACAGTGTAAACTGGCTATTTTTAGCTCGTCTTGCCGCACTATTTCTGATTGTGCGAGAGATGTATGACTTCAGCGAGCGCAGGAACTGAGAATGCTTTTAAAAGATATTGTGATACTTGAGAACAGCTTTTCCAGTGACATCTTTAATATGTGCATCAGATGTCAAGAGCAGTATGTGATCTGCATATGACAGGTCATAAATATTAAAGTTTTTCCATTTTGTTTCCATTAATCAATCTGTTGCGAAACAGCAGCGTACCAAAACCTTGAAAACAAACTCAAATGAAATAACAAGGTGTTTGTTCTGTACATACATTCTGTTATTATTGGTATTTTTCCCTTGGTACCAGTGAAAAGTCTGGAAATTATTAATTTTTCAACAAGATAATGATCTTAAGCACATCTTGAGGTTATGTAGTATTATCCTGTGAACAAGGAAAGAGATGGAGTGACAGAGGATCTGGCCCCCACAATCCCTCGACCTAAACACAATCCCCGACGTAATCACCCAAACTAAACACTTGTCAAAACTGCCAAACATACTAAATATCCTAGGACCATTATATAATGTTTGACTATATATACTGTTCTTCAACTAGCATTTCATAAAATAATGCCATCCGACACTAATAAAATTATACTTATGATGTTCAAATGCCTGTGATTAGCAAGCACTGTGTTTGTTTATGTGTATGATATGCAGCTACTAACTTTAGCCTCAACATGCGTCTGTCCAGCCGAAAAACAAGAAGTTTTAAATCAAATGACACCATCAATGTGTGCAATGTATTTATTTGTTTACAGTGTTTTACAGTGTTCTAGTACATACTGTTTGTTTGTGCCTCAAGGTTCTAGATGACCCATTGCAGACAGAGGGGCACGACACACATGTGGCCAGTGAGATGGAACTGGCCGTGCAAGTGATGCAAGAGGTCACTCCAGCAGGAAAGTGGGCCACAATCCAAGAGATGGAAACGGACAAATCGCGTGGGGTTGGTCTGTCAGCCTTGAGTGAGCAGACAGAGAGCACGCCAGTGTATTTCAAAGAAGTGGCAGATAATTTTGAGCCAACAGCAGAGCCACTGAAGACTGATCTTGTAAATAACCGTGTGACCTTGGATCTTCTTGACAGGGACGACTTTCATATTAACGAGGGTCTAGACAAAAATGCAAATAATATGTCTGAAACCCGTGGAGATGCTGGCTCCATTGGGGATGGGAAGAATGAGATGGAAATGAAGGAAACTGTCATCAATAGTGATGAACCGGGCACTAGATACTTTATTCAGACACCAGTATTTTTGCAGCTGAAACCTCAGATTCATCAAGATGTAGAAGAAGTCATCCAAAATGAGGTGAAAGACACAGGAATCCAGATTAAAGTTATTCATGAAAGTGATAATCTAAATGCAGTCTCTCCTAACCTTGAACTATTTATACCTGAAGCACCTCAAGCAGAATTGTCTGTGATTGTTCCAAAGGTAGACGTTGTGATGGAAACCAAAAACAAGCCGTTGACAGCTAAGGATGCAGATCAATCCCATTTACAGGAGAGGGAGGTTTCTGAGCTGGTGGCAAAGGAGAGTCATGTACTGGTTGCTCCAGTGGCCCCTGGTGTTGCTCCCAACCTACAGAACATGCGGAATGATGTAGCACCTTCACTATCAAATGAAGACAAACCAGAAATAACACGGCAAGGTGAGAAAGACGGAATGGAAGATAAAAAGCTGCTTGAGACACGCACCAGCAATAATGTGCCTTTTATAAATGTCTTCTTCGAAGATTCTGTTTTGCCCAGTAGTGCTAACTCTGACCCCAGTAATGTGAGTCGCTCTACCTTAACAACTTCAACACTGCCACATAATACTGAGAAGATTATAGATGCAAAAGATGAGTTCCACAGCAAACTTCCACTGGCTCCAGACAATGCGAAAGTACCCCAAGAAGCTACCGTGGACTCGAGGTCTGTTTTTGATGAACACCATACAGATAAGCCTTCAGTTGAAGTGCTCAGTCCTACCAACCTCAAAACACCTCTGTTGAGTCCCACAACTTTGCGACGATTTGCTTCTCAGAGAGCTGATGATCTGGGGACTCCAGATTTTACAACGGTCCCTGCAATTCAGGTTGACAGCATCTCACTGGAAAGCACGGAGCCATCACAGACCCCATCCACCATCCCATCCTGCGAGAGCAGCCCGA